AAACAAAAATTTAAGCTCAATAAAATAGAATTATAAACACCACCAAGGGTATTAGACTTCTATAATCTCAACCCCCCCCCCCCCCCCCCCCCAAACTACTGTCTAAAGTATATAAGACATTGTCCAAAATAGACGATAGAACAGCAATCCCAATTGAAAAATGGGAGGTGGATCTATCAGTCAGCTTTGACCAGAACTTCTGGTCCCAAACTTGTTTAAAAACTTTTAAAATGATCAGACACCCCAATTTACAATTAATTCAGTACAAAATTCTACACATAGTACACTATACAGGTCATCGGATGTTCAAGATGGGGTTTGTGTCGTCTGACACCTGTACACACTGCACAAACAACATTCCTGACAATTACATTCACGCACTGTGGTCCTGTCCACCTGTCCAGGAATTTTGGGGTAGAGTATGTGAAGACCTGTCAAAGTGTCTGAAATGTCATATCCCAACCACCCCCTCTCTTTGTTTACTGGGAAACCTGGACGATGTCCCGATTGAAACATCTTTGGCTCACGTGGTTCTGACTGCCATATGCATTGCTAAGAATACTATCCTCTTGAATTGGAAAAATAGAGAAACTCTCTGCATTAACCAGTATAGAAATCTTTTGTTAGATCATATTGCACTTGATATAGCCTCTGCTTCCACTTCAAATCAATCTCTCTGGGCTCCTTTGATCGGTTCCATCACATAGCGATGACGGAGGACCATTGATATTGTCCTGCAGGATTATGTGGGTGAGGGGGTAGAGGGTCTGTGTTTGGAGTATCCGGACATTCCCTGGAGGTGGGTTCACTGGGGATGTCTGGGACTGGGGGGCTGTTGCCCCCCTCTGGAGGTGCTTGGGTTGCCTCGGGGGTGGACTACTGGTGGTTGTGTGTGGGGCCCCTAGGAGGTCTTGGTGGTGGCTATGGGTCATTGCCCGGCAGCTGCATTGCCCCTGGGTGGGTCTGGGTGGGGGCCTGGGGGCTCGGGGTGTGGAGGTGGCCGGCCCCGTGTGGGGATCTGGGCGGCACCTTGGGGGTCGGGTCCTAACATGTATGCTACCGGGAAGAAGGCAGGAACATGCAGCAGTGCCTGGCTCGGGTTCAGGGGCCTCAGGTAGACCTTGGCTCCTCTGCTGTCCCATCACAGGGGAGGGGGAAGTCCAGGAGGGGGAGGACCCAACCTTACCTGGATGTCCTATGTCTTATATAATCTGGAAGTTGTGCAAATGCAGGGATAGGTGTAGATACTCTGCTGGGGTGGGGCTGGGTTGGTGCCCTCAGACTCTGTGAGGCTCTGTGATGCTGCTTTGTTGGGCCCTGGCAGGATGGGCTGGGGTCTCCATTACCTGGGTGGCATTTTGACAACAGAGGTGCCTATTGGGGCCAGTGGGGGAGCTGGCTCCCTGGAGGGCTAAGCCCAACAAGCCATTCCTCCCCATCGCCACACATTTCTCTCCTCCTGCTCCCTCACATCATCACACAAACATGCACATAGGACCTTGGGGGGTGGACAAGTCAGGGAGTGCAGGTATGGACCCCATTTCCGCATTCCTGTGGCAACCTGCCCCCCAATTTTATTTGCACCTTAAACACTTCCACCAATGACATTCCACGCAAACGCACACTTACCCCCAAATTCTACTACCTCCGCTCCGCTGCGCTCTGCTCCGACACGAACGCCGGAGCAAAATCGGTCCCGTTCTAGTCAATCAGAGCAATTCCACTACTGCGGCCGTGCTCCGGCAGTGCGGCGCCGTGCGCCGCCCTCTGTTCCGGCGTCCGGCAAAAATAGAATCGATCCTATTTTTGCCGGACGCCGGAGCACCTCCGCAGTCAATGGACAGAAATCACAAACGCCCAACAGGAAAAGGAGCAAGCACAACTTCCGTTTTTCACAATACATCGATAAACAAAAGGCGTTTTTTGTTTCATATGCACAGGTTTAACAACTTTTAACAACTATCAATGGCGGCTGAACGCACAAAAATAAGCCATAAATACAGTTTCCACTATCAAAGTAGTCACACTTTGTTGATCCAAACACTGCTGATCTCTCAACACAAATGATGGCAGATTAAACAGTTCATGCCGATGCTTCTCCCACACAACGGGTGTTTGGATCTAACTTCCGCGTTTATTGCTCGGACTGTATCGCAAGATCTCGAAAATCCCGCGCATGCTTGTTTGCCCACCTCAAGTCTCCGCACCGGAGCGGAGCCGTTGTAGAGTGGGTACCAGTAAAAATTGAGTTCGGAAGCGAGCGGCTGCGGAAGGAGGGGGCGGACCGGAGCGGAGGTAGTGGAATTTGGGGGTTAGGGCCTTAGGAGTGAGCACATTCAACGGCAGTTGGCAGGGGGATTTCTCAGCCTCATCCCGAATGCCGGTGCCCACTTCCAATTTTAAACTGCACTTAGACACTGAGGGCTGTGGGTGCAAGTGGGGTGGTGTGGTGGCATCAGCTGGCATAGGCCAGACGATGCTCGCACTGCCCGCTCACCACAGCCATGGAATACACCTCATCAACACTCACTAACACCATATTGGAGCAGGCGGAGGGAGACTAAGGCTCTAAGCACACCTCTGTTGTCGCTCGGTTTCCTGGGGCTGGAGGCTAGGAGGGAGATCCGTCCGTCCGGTTGGGGTCTGGAGTGGTGGGTTGCTGTGCTCAGCATTGGGTGGGGGAGCCTGTTCATAAGCACCCCAGCAGAAAGGGTCGAACTCTGGTAACCGGTAATGGTTGTACCCCATGTGCAGCAGTACCAGAACCAGAGTGAATAGGGTGTGTATGGGGAGCATGAGTGGGTGTCCGGCATGCATTTTTGTAAGTCTTTGGTTGTATGTGTATGTGTGAGCACGAGGGAGGGAGTGTGTGACTGTGTTTGTGTATGACTGTATATCTCAGGTGGGGCCTTTGACTCCTCCCTTCTCCTGGGACTTCTTTTGATGACATAGATCTTCGTCTCCCCTCTCCCTGCCACACCTGGTGTGGAGTGCGGCGCCTTGGTCTGCCTGGGTCGTGGCTCCCGGGTCAGGGAGTTTAAGATTTTTGGTGTCTGCCTGACCAATCCCGGTGGCTGCCTGGTGGGGTCTGGGACTGGGTCCCTGGGCTCTGCTGGGTAGGGGTTGTATGAAATAGTTGACTTCACTGCTCTGTAGTGACTTTTTATGCCTGTCATCGACTAGTCGCTGTCACGTGATAATGACCGACAAGATGCAGTCCTCAGAAAATACAGCAGGTGACAAGCCCCTGCGCGTCGGGAGGCGATGCACTGTGCCAGAGCGTCGGTGCTGACACCGCAGTAAATTTAACCAAATTGTGACCTTCACCTTCTTGCAATTTAACCTTCCACTCAGCCCCATCCTAATCTTAACCAGCTTGCACATGCAAAGCTCTGATTGTTGACACGCTCCAGACATCTGCGTCCTGAGCACGGCAACAGTAACATTATCAAATTAGGTGTCACCACCTCAAAAACAAATTTAACATGCGATCGTTAATGTCAGCTCATTTCCTTTCATGTTTTCTGTCTTTTATTTGTGCCTGATGCTTTTCGCTGCTGTGGAGCGGGGCGCATCACCTGTTTTGTCCTCCGGTGATGCACCTCACCGGTGCGGCCGGCGAGCAGCGCGCACTCCGCTGTTTTTGCAGTCAGTAGATCTTTTAGAGCTGCAGTTCAAAGGTAACTCATAACGCAAATATATATGAACCCAGGTAGAGGTTTTTCTTTAGGATTGAGAGGAGATGCAGGAAGATAATAAACAGGCAGGACAGAAAAATAGTCAAATAAAAACAAGTTAGTTATTGTACCTGGTGGCTGCAACAAACAGACACCATTGAAGGTAATCAGAAGTGAGGAACAGAAAATGAAATAATTATTTTAATGTTTAGAGCAGCAGGAACTCCGAGAGGCTGCAGGCGCATCAGTGAGTTTGCGGCTGCTGCGCAGGGGGAGGGGGAGAGGGCTGAAGCGGAGCAGTATAGATGCAGAAACTACCGTTGTTAAAAGAGATGGGTTAAACTTTGATAATGTGGGTGCAATTTTAATTGTCAAAAACTCCAGCGAACCAACCGACCCCCCCACGCCACTTCAGCTGTATGACGTCATCAACGACTAGTCAAAGTCGACTCGATTTTCATTACTTGACTGTCAACTTTTAAAAAAATGAAGTCATGCAGCCCCTACTGCTGGGTCCCCGGTCGCTGGGTCCCGGGCTTGGCCGGCTAGGGGGTGGGAGGCTGTGGGCGGGCCTGTGGGCTTGCCGCCGATATCTCCCGGGACTCAGCCGGCTGCTGGTTTTGGCCCCCCGGGGCGATCCTCTGCGCCTCTCGAGGGGGGCAGGGGCTTTTCTGGTTGCAGTCTCCCTGGAGTTCCTGTGCTCTGGGGCAGCACCTGGATCTCTGGGACTTGGAGCTCCCTCCGTCTTCTGCACATCTTTAGGGGGCAGATCTGTGGCCCCTCACTCTCTATTGGATGCTCCTATAGAGAAACCTTACATAAACAAGCGCGTGTACACTCACAGGTGCTCACATGGTGCTCTCATAAGTATGGACTTGGGCACATTCAACACAGGTCTTAAGGCTATGGTTGGCACTAAATGCACTGTGATTTATTATCGTGTGATTGTTCAGTTAAACAATGTTGATTATATATTTCTTCATCAAGTTGACGCATGATAGCTTGCTCCTGTTGTATTGTTGTGTGTCCCATTTGTTATTCTTTTTTTCTCTTCTTTCTCTTTGTGCAGGTCTAGAAACAGACTCTTGTTCATTATTGTTTATTTTTGTAGACCCCCCCCCCCCCACACACACACACACACTTTTGTTCCTTCCTTTCTCTTTCACCTTTGTCTCCGTGTCTGGTCGGAATTAAACACGGAAAAACAAACAAACAAAAAAAGAGAAACCACTGGGGGGAACCGGTGCTGATGGTCCACAGGCACGAGACATTTTCCCCAGCCTCACTTGTTGCTTCCTGTCCGTCAGGAAGTCAGTGATCTACCTTCAGATGGGGTCAGGTGCGTTCATCTGGGACAGTTTGTCTTGGAGGAGGTCTGGGGGGATTGCATTGAAGGCAGAGTGTTGATGCCTTGTAAATAAAAAAGTTGCAGGTTGAATTCTGGGCATTTTACGTGGACTGTGCATCTTCTCCATGTGGGGTTCTCTGTAACACGGCCAAGGTGGAGATTGTACTCTGCACGGTCTGTGTAACACACACACACACGCACGCACGCACGCACACACACACACACACACACACACACACACACACACACACACACACACACACACACACACACACACACACACACACACACACACACACACAGAGAGAGAGAGAGGGAGAGCGAGAGAGAGAACAAACTCTAAATGCCTGCTGCGGTGGCTCTCCATTAAGCTGAGCGAGTGCTCATTTAGCAAACACTCAGTCACATCCAGGCGTATTAAATAAATATGGAGCGCTCTTGTGAGTAAATTATTCATTTAACACTCCTTGTCCTCTTCCAACAACCTTGTTGGAGAACCTCAGGAGCTGAGCAGAGAAAGGCAGACGCCACGGTTCATGTTAATCAGCAAAAGCTGTGGTGCATCCCTAAACTTTCTGGACGTTGGGTTGTCGAGGGGGCTAATTCACCCTGACACCTCCTTTGTTTCAGGCAGAAACAAGCTGCATACACACTGTTTATAAGTGACAAGAACAGACACACAGACGTGGAGAGGAAACAGCACAGGAAAGGGATTTTTAGTGCATAATATTAGAATAATCATTTAGGCTGTCTGGACAAATTATTCAGATGCAGGATTCCCGCTAACCACGGCCGGAATTTGAGCGGATTCCACCGAGTTACGATGACATCAAAGTGGTAACAGCTTTTTAAATTAAAACTGGATTTAACCTTCAGGACAAGGCGTTCAACAGCACGCTGCATAATTTATGACCACAGTACAAATGCATAATTAAGAGAGACAGCAATCATTAGATTTGCAGTATTAGTGTTCATTCAACATAAGTAGAAAGCCCTAACTCATAATACCGTGGGACTCCATTACCATTTGTTAGAAAAATATAGGAAAAAGTGACAAATTCAGGCAGACACAAGAATTCAGTTTTTGGCCCATGAGGAGAGGTGTTACACCAAGTATAAGATCTCTGACTCCTCCTCAGTGCAGCCTTTTATTTCCAACACAGTGACACAACCATCCGAGGGGCCGTCCCCACGGAACAGCACAATCAGGCACAAACACAAATATTCAAAACATCTGCATCTGATTACTGATAACCCTGCCTACCAGTTGCTACTCATAAATCTTTTAGCTGAGACAGACTTCCTTTTGCTTTACGACACCCCGTAATCACGTTCTAAACACACACGTATAGACACATAGGTAGCAGTAAACAAGTAAACAAACCATTACACCCTCCACCAGAAAACAATAAAGGAGCCGAACTATACCTCTCCTGTAACGAGTAACTTCACTGAAATGCTGGAACATTCCATTTGGGTCCAGTATTCTGTTTGTTAAGTGGTCTAAAACAGGCTTTTAATTCTACCATGTCACACTAGATCTTACTTATTAATGATGAAACTTCAAATAATAATAGAGGTAATAACATTGTAATGAAATTATTGACACGTTTTCTTAACAACATTTTAGGAAATGAGTTTGAATGAAGCAACTAAAGTAAAGCAGGTCAGACACGAAGATCCGGGCCCATCCCTGCTTCATTTGTTTTCAGACAGTTGTGACTCTTGTCTTTAAGTGCATTCATCAGGTTTTTCAGCTGCTGCTTCAGAGTACTGATGGTTTTTGTGGGCTGCATGTGTAAGCTGAGTGTTCTCCCAGCACAAGAACAATCATAGCTTTGATCTGCTCTTCCTAGCACAGACAACCGCACATGAAACCCACAGCTATGGACCTCGATCATCTCCGTAGGTGAAGATACACACTCAGGAAGTTCCTGCTGCGGTTAAAGAGACAACTGTTAACTTCTCTAAGCAATTAGACCTGAAGTGCATGTCAGACAGTCGTCTTTTGGATCTAATAGCTGCTCAGAATTGGACTGATGCTGTTTAATTCTGATTGGCTGCCAGGCTGATGGTAGCAGGTTAGGGTCCAACCATCCAGCTGTTGTTCAGCTGCTAGCAGATGTCTGACAGTTCTCATTAACCTCCTTGTCGTGATAGAAACTAGTCTACCAGATCCGAGCATGAACGTAGGTGCATGCAGGGGGGCTGCCAGAGATTTTGGGCCCCATGAAAAAAATATCAAGTTGGGCCCCCTGGGGGCTCGTCCATAGCTGGAGCTGGGGTTCCACCCTCCCAGATTCGAAGGGAGAAAAAAATATAATGTATATACTTTATATTAGTGTTTCAGTTTTGCTTAATTATGTAGGTCTACATGCATTCTTACTTATTTACATATCATTTTCACCAGGTTTTTTTCTTGTATGGTGCCTTCAAAAAGGTGCTTCACAGTAATAATCTCACAGTAATTTATGTTACATTAACAGACTAAATAACAATGCTTCAACCTGCCCAGCATCAAAAACAATCTATACATTTTTACTGATTGATACATACATACATATATATCTGTTCTTTGCGATATTCATATTGCGCATGCTGATATCACAATAACGATATATTTGTGATATATTGTGCAGCCCTACTAAGGTATTAGGAAATCAGATTGATAATTCATATTTATATGGAATCACATTTAACAAAATTGAATCTACCACAAATCCTCTAATATTGGCCTGTATTCCATTACAGGCCGGTCTCCTACATTAGCTTGTCTCACTGGTTAAGTCAAGGTTAAGTAAATGCCTGTCTCCAATAGTGGCCGGCTTTACGGCACAAACCTAACCGCTGGCAAAAACCCAGCCACAGTTTTGATAGCTTTAAAGTACAATTGATCTTAAAATATTTTAATAAATGCATACCACTGTTAATGAACTAGTCTCACAAAAGACAACAGCAAGTCTGATCACGTATAAACAATAGAGTCAGTTCTTGCTTCCTGGCGCAGTGTGCCGCCCGCCGTTCCGCCATCCGGCAAAAATAGGATCGATTCTATTTTTGCCAGACGCCGGAGCACCTCCGCAGTAAATGGACAGAAATCACAACCGCCCAACAGGAAAGGGAGCAAGCACAACTTCCGTTATTTCACAATAAATCGATAAATAAAAAGCATTTTTTGTTTCATATGCACAGGTTTAACAACTTTTAACAACTATCAATGGCGGCTGAACGCACAAAAATAAGCCATAAATACAGTTTCCACTATCAAAGTAGTCACACTTTGTTGATCCAAACACTGCTGATCTCTCAACACAAATGATGGGCAGATTAAACAGTTCATTTCCATGCTTCTCCCACACAACGGGTGTTTGGATCTAACTTCCGCGTTTATTGCTCGGACTGTATCGCAAGATCTCGAAAATCCCGCGCATGCCTATTTGCGCACCTCAGGTCTCCGCACCGGAGCGGAGCCGTTGTAGAGCAGGTACCAGTAAAAATTGAGTTCGGAAGCGAGCAGCTGCGGAAGGCAGGGCGGAGCGGAGGTAGTGGAATCTTGGGGTAACGCGCAACTTTCCAAGAAGTGCTGCGCCGTGCGGCACATCCTGAGTAACCACTTGACTGCTCAAAATCACCTCCGGCGAGCCCCAGGCTTTATTTACTTTGATGACTGGGTGAAGCAGTGTGCCACAAAGGATTTACCGAAACTTACTAAACGAAGAGGGAAGAGTGGATCATAATCTCCGGCTGCAAGATGAGCAGACACGGAACGTAAAATGCTACAGTTTGCAGTGATCACTTCATGACAGGTAAGGGTTTTTTATGGCATTTTATTGAACAGCTTAGAAACACTGCTACAAAAGCAGCAGGTTAACATTTTAATACTGTTTTCTCGTGTCCTCACCGCAAGTGGCTTGTAGAGTGCTAATGATTTTAGCAGTTAGCTCAGTGTTGTAACCATCGACATACATATATGGACAATGGGTTTCCATAGGTTCCAATAATACGTTTTTGTACTAAAATGGGAGGTGGCCACCACCGCCATTTTGACCGTGTCACAGGTTCCGTCAAGCCCAGACAATTCCATAAAAGGGAAGAGAGGTGGAGCTGAGGGTGGGGCTGTAAGGCTGGGATCAACTGACGACACCCGGTCGAACTAGCTACAAGCTAACCTGAAGCTAACCCAAAGCTAACGCGGAGGTGGGAGCTAAGCTAACGGAGGTAGCAACCTAGTGTAGCGTTAGGAAGTATAATGGTCTGCCCTTAACAGCTGCCCCTTCACACAGTACCATCACCAAGGTCGGAAGCTTGGTTCACTATGTTTACATTCCAGGAGAAGAGACAGAAGAACAGAAGAAGAACGCTTTTCATTGAGTAATCAAAGTACTTTATTTGTGATAAGCTAATCAAAGCATTTGTTGATCATTAATAATCAAGTGAATGATCTGTGAAATAAAGATGTCATGAGTTATGTGTTTAAATGAATAAACAGGGCTGCCCCAGACACACTGATATGCATTACCATGGAAACGCATGACACATTGTTTTCAACCAATCAGAACTTTCGTCTGTGGTAGGGCAGAATCTGGTTTGTTTATGAAAGTAGTCCAATCCGGTTTACTAAGATTCTTAAACAAAGGGGAGATATAAAAAGAAGGCAACGCCATTTTAAGGCAGTTCCACGTTACGTTCCAATTTCAGCAGTTACATGTTGAACTCAGCTCCAGGACATCCGAGTTCCTAAGGATTTCCATCGTCATCATTAAGAAGTTCAGACTGGCCAGCTGGACTTCCTACTTTGAGCTGAAATCTGTCAAGCTGGAGATGTTCCGTCGTTTATACCAACGAGACGACGGTCCTTCAAAATAAGAGTGAACTTGTTGACGCCTGCCGATGCTACCTGAGTCGACCCTTCAGACGGGCGTTGTGTGCTGTGACCGCTGTTTCAACCAGCTCCAGTATCGCTGAAGGTCCGAGACCTGGCAATTCCTGATCTAACACGGGAGGCTCTTCCTGGGTAAGTAAATACGGCAAATGGCGGCTCATGTCATCAGCTTCTGAAGCCTCGTGGTAGCCTAGTCAAAACAACCAGATTCGCTACTCAGCCTAGAGTTTCTGAACAAAACACACACATACACCAACCCGAACCATCTACATCCATATGCATCCATCATTGAGACAGTCCTGGTAGATTGTAAGAATTTATAATTATAGAAATTAAAGATTCTTAAACGATCCCAACTTTCTCTCTTTCTTGTCTCTCAGTCAAAACAAAGTGTTTAAGTAAACTCCCTGATGATAGAAACAGCCTCTTATGATTGATTACTTAGATTGTATAAATATACAAAATCAGGTAATTAAATTATCTAATTACAGTATATAAATATACAACTTCAAATCACAACATTACATTACACTAGCTACAACCGGAGTTAACTGTGCACAACACCAGAGCTTCTGAGTCAGAGATACGCTGGGCTGACCGCTGGGTAAAACCGGGTGGAACACAGAGGTCTCCAAGAGCTCCACAAGCCGCACAGCAGACAAGCGCCGCTGCGATCTGAGATGCGCAGAGCTGCCGCTGGGGAGAACCGGGTGGAAAGGTTTCCATCCCAGAGCTCCACAAGCCGTCAGCCTGCGCAGCAGACAGAAGCCGCGATCAGACAGCGATACGTCGAGCTGCTGGGAGAACCAGCCGTCAGCCGGCGCAGCAGACAGAAGCCGCGATCAGACAGAGATGCACCGAGCTGCGGGGAGGGGAGAACCGGGTGGAAAACATCGGTCTCCCCAGAGCTTCACAAGCCGATAGTCGGTTCCCAGCTCCACCAACATCTTATATTCAACCCATTTTCTAAAGTGCAGCATTATGTTAAATGCACTGGGTTTTACCCTATTACATTTAAATTTCATGGTTAAACAGTACATGTTAAAATCTAAGCTCAGCTCGGCAGTGACCTAAAATACATAAATATAATTTTACTTACCGAAAAAATGAAGTGGAGACTCCTTGGACGCTCTATTAGTGCAATTAATGCCACAGCAAGCCATTTTGTCCAACAATTGCACAAAAAATATCCAAAACAGAATACACAAACACAGAGACTCAAAATGCCGGAGCAGTTTCCAGGCCAGACCGAGGCTCTACTGAAGCCTTTCCATGGAGCTAGCTCTGTGGTCACGTGGATCTGATGCTCATTAATTATACAGAATTTTAGGCTTTTAATACACTTAAACAGAAGAGTGAGAAAAAATTCACCCCCCTCAGAGTTGTCATGAGTGTAAACTAGATCATTTAAACCAAAAACATGTTTTGGTACCAGGCTGTAAACATGTTTATTTCTGCTGTGAAATTGCTATTTTTAACATGGGAGTCAATTGGGCCATTCCCATCTGTACCGGGTCGGCCCGGCTAGCGTAGGTTGTTTACATATCTGGGTGGGCTGGTATTTTTCCGGGCCAACCAAGGCTCATTCTCAGCCCTCTTCTCGAGGGGGTCTGCTTCAGGCCGACCAGGGCCAACACGCCCACTGCTGACAGCAAATTCACACCTTCCATTAGAGCAAGCCTCTGATTGGTGGGTAGAATCAGCCCACATGGGCTTAAGACAAGGATGTGTGGAATCAACCGGGCCAGGCTGGGGCCGACTGGGGCCGACTGGGGCTACCTGGCCCGGGCCGACCCGGTACAGATGGGAATGGCCCAAATGAGGATTTGCTCGCTTCTGACACCAGCTACCAGCGGATGAGGGTGGAACTGCAATTTCTGGTACTTCTGGGTTGAGACAAATTTCTGAGCCGCATTGTGGGGGCCTGGTTGTAACGTGGAACTGCAGAGGATGAGGATTAAACTGTTGGAGGATGTATTTTTTTTTACTTCAAACCAAACGAGACACAACGGTTAAACTTTGGAGCAGTAAGGTGTCTGTTGCCTTTTGTTGTGAATCAGTGACCTAATTATCGCCAAGTGTTTACAATACATTACCAGAGTGTTTACTACATTTGTACCATACTGGTATTTAGCCTGAAACAACGGTGTTTGTTGTAAATGTTCTATATGCATACGTACATACAATGTTAACTGTTCATTCTTTATTTAACCAAGAAGGTCCCAGTGAGATTAAAAACCTCATTTACAAGGGAGTCCTGGCCAAGAGGCAGCAAAAGTTACAGTTACAAATGTTTCAGTTACACAAACATGTTATGTACAAAATTACAGAAGGCAGTTACAACACAGGGAATCTTTCTCAAGGGCTCTTAGTCTGGTTTTAAAGATAAACTCGGTTAATTTCCAGTTTTCCTACAGCCTGTTTCATGCAGAAGGAGCAGCATGAACTGTACATTTTCAATAAACGAACCTAGAGTTTTTAGGTTCAAATAGACACAAAGTCTTATTGTTATTCATTCTACTGGTAGTTTATTTTGCTCAAATATTGAGACCTGCCTTTTAATTCTGGCCTCCTTCCAATAAAGGCCTGAACCAGGATGCACTTGAGTAAATAAAGGCCTGGGCCTGTATTAGAGGATTTAATGGAATCCATCACGCTACACTGTAGTTTTCT